TTTTTGTTAAAATAATAATAAATTCGAATATTTCGTTAAATAAATAAAATATTTATATATTAATAATATTTAAAAATTTAAAAAATATTTAAAAACTGCTGCAACAATTATTAATTAGTTCTATTATTAATATTTTAACCGATTAAAGCTAAAAAAACAAAGTCGATTTTTAAAAAAACGTTAAACGTTTTCTAATTAAAACTAAAGTTTAATAAAACTAGTATTATAAAATTTATAAAAAAATTCGTTATAATTAAATAAACTTCCTCCCGCTTTTTTTTTTCGTACTTTTGCTCGATTTAATTTATTTTTTCTTTTTTAATAAAAATATTAATTCCCTGTTTATATAAAAACTTTTTTTAAGTTTTTAAATAATAAAAACGTTTTAAACGTTCGTTTATTTTATTTTTAAAACTATTTATTTTTTTTCGTATTTTTTTTTAATAATTCGTATATTATTTTTAAACTTTTTTTTAACCGTTTTTATTTTTTTTTAAAAATTTATAAATTTTTTTTATATTTTTTCTTTTATTTAACGGAAACAGGTTTGTTTTTTTATAATTATTGTTAAAATTAATATAAATATATTATTATAATGTTTTTTATTTAAAGTATAATAATAATAATTAAAAAAATCGTTAATACGGAAATAAAAAAAAAAATTTAATAATTTATAAATAAAACACGGGAAGATTTTAAAACTATATTATAAAACATATTCTGCCTAAATAACACGCGCTTTTTTTTATTAAAAACGAGATCTTTTTTATATATAAGTAAATATAATAAAAAAAATATTTACGAAAGAAAAAAAATGTTTTTAAAACAAAAAACACGAAAAAAAAGAATATAATGTTATAATCTAGGGTTTGTTTTAAGTTTGTTTTATTAGGACAAACGCCCGTATTTTAATTATTATTTACCCGGGTCTTTATTCGGACCGAAAAATCACGTGATATAGATCCTCGGGATCCTTTAGATTTTTTAAATTTTTAAAATCTATAAAATTATTAAAATCTGTAAAATTACCAAAAAATTATTAAAAACGTAGTAAACAAAAAAAAGCGTTTTTTATTTTTATATAATATTACAATTTTTTTTTAACTAGTTATTCGTTTTTATTTTTTAACTATTAACTTAATTTATAATTTTTATTAAATAATATATTTTTTAAATTTAAAATTATTTAACTTTTTGTTTAATAATAAGAAATATTTTAAAAACTTTTTAATAAATATTTATTAAGTTCTTATTGTTATTTATAAATTAAAACCTTGTACGTACTTTTATATTATTATATAAAAAGTCCGTTACAATTATTAACATTTTTTTTATTTTAATAATATTATTTAAATATAAACGAACTTTTAATTAATATAAACTAACAATAATTTTATAACAGTTATTATTTAAAACAAGCATTTTAAAAACTATTTAATACTTTTAATATTAATTATAAAATAATTTAAACACTTTTTAAAACTTATTAAAATTAATAAAAAGTTTTAACTTTAATTAATAAAACATTATAATTATTTAACTAACTTGTTAATTAATTATAATAAATCAATCAACAAAATCAGCTAAATTAGTCAAATAACCGATTTTAAGGCCTTAAAGCAGTTAAAACAAGTCCAGGGTCGATTGTTTAACTTGTTTTACCTGTGGGCAGCGCTGGATGCAATAGGACTGGAAAACGCTGCGCTGGCCTCCATTTCTGGCATCGGTCGAGAGAAAAACATTCCGCGCGAGATGACATATTGGAAAATGATATTTCCATCCGCTATGAAAGAATTCCAGGGCTTGGAGGAAGCGAAGATCCCGCGGCACCGGAAACAAGCGGATGATATACGAAACAGTCAGACTTGGAACGATGTATATCAAAAGTTGGAAAACGCTCAGAACTACTATACCAATGCAACAGGAATTGGTGGTGGTATTCGACGGGTATTGAGATGGGTCGCTGACAACGCCACCGAGCCAGCACGTGCCGCTATCACACTTGTTCCGCAGATAAGCATCGTTAGTCCTGTTCTTGGGGCTATACAAATTATCCTCGGAACCGCGAAAAAGGGGGCCGAGGTTCGAAAAGAGACTCTGAAACAGTTCGACGAGCTTGAAGAGGTGTTTTCAGACGTTGAGCTCTTTCTTGAGACTTTTCCACAGGAAGAACTAATATTGAAACAGGCAGTCAGCTTGGTAGCCAGCGTCCTGCTTGCTACGGAAAGGGGTATAGGGTTTTTTACTCGACCGGGCTGTAAGTTTGAGATTCTTCACCTTGAATTTTAATTTCTAACACGCTCTTGACTAGTAATGAGAGGATTCAAAGCAGTCCTGAAGGGGAAGGATTACGAAAAACCTCTCATCGAAAGCCTTACAGATATCACATCACAGAGCAAGAAGCTCATGATTCAGGCGCTAAAGACCCATATCCGTGACTTTCATGGCTGTAAGTAAACGGTTTTTCAGCTCCCCTTATGTATCTTCCCATGACTGGTGCGAAGCTCTGGAGCCTATCAAGCTGCTGACAAATAATTCGCCCACCTCAAGACTCGCAGGCCAGCTTACGGATCTTCTCGCTCATCAAACAAGGTCAAGAAGATGTAGCTGCACAAGTTACAAACGTTGGTGAAAAAGTCGACAGGGCCATCAACGCTACTGATGGTATGAACGCTACGCTTCATCTCTTATTGGACAAACACGACGAACAAAGGGATCAATTTCAGCGTAAGTCAAACCCCCTAGAAAATGAGGACTGGCTAGTTTTTCGCGCTCACCATAGGAAATTATCCCCTAGAATTGCTCATCGCAGGTGCAAGAGAGATAGGACGTCTGAGGGCCCAAATTCGGGATTCCTCCATGGGCCCGCCAAACTCAAGAGCGATATCTCCGAGGCCCCAACTTCAGCCATTGCCTCAATTCGAAGCGCCATACGTAAATCAGGAACAATTATGGCACTTGATGAGGATAGATGACCTCGATACGGCTGACTTAGAACATACCGAGAAGACCCGTGAGCAATTTCTTCGAAGGGATCGTGCACGAGCAGAGCAAATTGTCCACTGCCAGGAATTTCAAGAGTGGATTGTGTCGCCAAAATCTACTAGATTCATGCTCTACAGCTCTTCCTTTGACTATACAGCAAAGACTTCCGCTCTGTCTCTCTTCTGCACAACCCTCGCAAGAGCATTCCGTCTCCGGCAACGCTACCTATGCCTCGTATGGTTCTGTGGGCGTCATTCGAATGACGATGATTCGGACCTTGACGGGAGCGATTCTGATGAGGATTCTGATCTCGACTTTAGTAGATATAACGAAGAGGACGACTATAGCCCAGGCACCAGAGAATCGGTGATCAAGCGGATGGTGCGAAGCCTGATTGTGCAACTCTTGTCCGATCACGACTTTGGGCCTCAAAATCTATTAAACCCAGGCATCGACGTGGAATTCCTTCAAGGCCATTGTTTGTCACAACTAAGGAATCTGTTTACCTGGCTAACCCAACAGCTACCTCAAGATATCACGCTGTTCTGCCTTATTGACGGAATCTCTTTTTACGAGCGTGACGAATTCGAAGACCCAATGCTCGATTTACTAGGAAATATTCTGGGGCTCACAGCATCCAACGATGTGTTGGCCACGGTTAAAGTGCTGATGACGAGCACGCAGCCGCCGTCGGCAACTCTACGATCAGGTTTTGAGTACGAGGAGACTGGCCCCGACGGTATTCAAGAGACGAAGAGCTTCATTCTATCCGTGGATTCACTATATCTGGCGCATGTAGATGCTAGTGAGGAAAGGGTGGGCAGTTATTTAGGCGAGGTCATTCCTGAATAGGGGGGCCAATGTCTGCTGCCATAGTCCTAAAATTGGTACTTCTAGTAATCCTACGCGATTTTCTACTACTCAATGCGGAAAGCTGTATGTATAATAGTACATTTAATGCGGAACACTAGCGGATACGAATTTAAATAAAAAGAAAAACAGAGACGACATGTGCAGGATTTGAACCTACGCGACCGAAGTCATGAGATGGCTTAATTCTGAACGAATTCAAGTCTCACCCATTAACCACTCTGGCAACATGCCTAACTGCGCAACTCGCGTAACTTTTTGACTACATGTATGACTGATAAATCACAGCATATAACACGCGCTACACTAAGATGAGCTCGCGTTTCGACTTCCGATCGCGAGAGTATATACTGTGTTTAGTCGGGCCGACGTCAACAACAATGGTGACAGCAAGCATCCTCGGTGGCGCAATTGGCTAGCGCGTCGTAAGTTATCACTTCGATAGATGTTCTAATACACTGTCTAACAATATTCCAGTGACTGTTAATCAGGAGGTTGAAAGTTCGAGCCTTTCCCGGGGAGGTACTTTTTTTTTCTTTAGGCGAACCTGGTGTTTTTGTAGCAATGCAGCTCCGCGTGACGATCCTTCTTTTAAACTCTGACCTAAATATATCATGCAACAGCTACATACATACTTACAACTATTCACTCATGCTGAGTATGAGTTGGCCATAAGAAAGAGCAGCCTTCGTTCGATGAAAAGAAGAGAGTGGGAGGAGCAAACGAGAAGCCACCTAATCATGAAGTACCGGTACTGTGTTCAGAACTGCAGGCCCTGGGACGATAGAGCTGCTCGGGCTCACTGGTGGGCGACTAAGTAAATACAGAGGCCCACGTTAGAGCTAAGTACCGTACTCGTACTGTACCTAACTCAGTAGTGCCTGTTAGATTTGCTCAAGTCGCTTTTGCGCCCTGTAGGTGTTCGAGATCGGCGTCCGTACCATAATACCGATTTGGGTATTCGCTGCGCCTGGAAGACTTTCCAGGGTAAACGGCAACGATATCGGCTTGATGGATGAATTTCAAGTTTGAACGCTTTAGCTGAAATGCACGATAATTATCATGCAAGCACGGCCTACTCGACCGGGATAGTCGTCCGTCACCTAGATAGGAACATTCGGAACATACGTGCTAACCTAGATAGGTAACGCTTATCTAGGTACATTAGTAGGGCAGATTGATGCATGTGAGTCAAGTCGATCTAGAGATAGGTGCGGGGCTCTACGACATCGCTCAGCGGGGTGAAGTTGACTCACCCCACCATCTCTTGTGCCGCCTGCAATTGTCCTCTGCACCTGGAAAGCTTAATCCACACCAGACAGCGTTGAAACACCAAACTTGCAAGCCTTACGATTTTTCTGCGGCCGGCGCATATCGAAAGAATATTTTCCCTATTTGCGACAGCCTGCACCTCGAGGCTTCTATCATGGGCTCGCTCACCAACGCCCCGATCTTGCCAGAGACGGGGAAGAGGAACATCTTGATCACCAGGTATGCGCACACGCGACATGAACTTTCGTCCAACTTGGATAAATAGCAAATTCGCTGTTGTAATTGAAGCTCACAATTATTGTTCTTCGCAGTGCCTTGCCATAGTTAGTATAACGACGATTCCCGCGACTGCGACCCAGACTAACGCACACACATTTGCAACAATGTTGTCCATTTAGGCAACATTATCGGAAGTGTTCTGGTAAAGCATTACTTTCCATTTCATGGATGCGACTCGCGCTCATGTCCAACAAATGCTGACATCGATTTGTCCTCGTTTAGTCTGCCGACTGCTTCGCTCGTTTCTGCAGGGCGCGAGGGCTGAATACGCTCTATGTTTGTGGTAGCGACGAGGTATGCATACAACCGCCATCATGAGACAATACTCCTTAACGAGGTATGTTCTTTTTGGGTTGCATGCTTACACTCGAGCCACAAATAGTACGGCACTGCGAGCGAAACAAAGGCCCTCGAGGAAAAGACAACGCCTGCTGAGCTGTGCTCCAAGTACCACGAAATCCACAAACGAATCTATGCCGACTTTTCTATCTCCTTCGACGTCTACGGCCGCACCTCGACAGAGCAGCACACCGAGATCGTCCAGGACATATTTACCAAGCTGTGGGAAAACGGCTTCATAGAAGAGCGCACAAGCGTCCAGCCCTACTGTCCGACCCATCACTCTTTCTTGGCCGATCGTTTCGTCGAGGGAATATGTAGTATTTGCGGGTGCGTATATCGCAACTGGATCTTGAAAACGCATTGCAGGTCACTAAAGCGATAAATACATCTAGTTACAATGATGCCAGGGGCGATCAAGTAAGTACACCCTATCCACGACGATGACCACCTAAGAAGCCATTGCGCTCCCTGCATTGGCTGGGTTCTTCCCCTAAATTTTCTATTTTCTAACACAATTTCCATAGTGTGATGGCTGCGGAAATCTGCTCGACCCACTTGAGCCAGTAGCCGAGGCCAATGACGTGGTTGGGCACGAGGCGAAGGGGACGGGCTTCCTGAAATCCCCTCGCTGCAAGCTTGATGGCACAACGCCTGAAGCAAGGAGTACGAAGCATTTATATCTACGCTTAGATCTCCTGGAAGATGATGTCAGGAAATGGTTCAGTTCAAGCAGCGAGCAATGGAGTTCAAATTGCATCGCCATCACGCAGTCGTGGCTAGCCAAGGGACTCGAAAGCCGTTCGATTACAAGAGATCTGAAATGGGGCGTGCCTAGAAAGTATCACCCTCCCTTTTATCTGAGATATTTCTTACTAACATGGCTTTTGCCGTGCAGTTCCTAAAGGCTTAAAGGGGCTATCGGACGAGGCATACGAGAACAAGGTCTTCTACGTCTGGTTTGATGCTTGCGTAAGTCTTGTTTCTTACCTCTCGCCCATAAGAAATTTACTTCTAACGACTCGACGATAGATTGGATACCCATCGATCACAAAAACGTATACCGATCGTGATGATCTCTCTGGAAATAATTGGGAGAAATGGTGGAAAAATCCTAAAGATGTCACCCTTTATCAATTTATGGTAAGTTCCATTCATGAGTCTTTTACTTGCGTTCTCCGTATCTGCAATTCAAAAGAATTGTATTGACTCTTAAACTAGGGCAAGGACAATGTTCCGTAAGCTTTTTCTGTTGGTTAGATACATCTTATGCCGTATCTCACCTATTCTAGTTTTCACTCGATAGTATTCCCCGCCAGTCAACTCGGCACTCGAGAAGATTGGACTAAGGTTTCTCGATTCTCGACAAGCGAGTATCTCAACTACGAAGGCGGTAAATTCAGCAAGTCTCGAAAGTATGTATCTGAATATCCCATACCCTTGTCCGATTTGACGTTGGAGACCTATGGCTAATCTTTGTGAAAGTATCGGTGTCTTTGGTACTGCTGTCAAAGATACAGGCATTGACACTGATGTCTGGCGTTTCTATCTATTGTCACGACGACCTGAAACTAGTGATGCAGAGTTTCTGTGGCAGTAAGCTTTCTGCTTTGAATTCCCATCACATTGGAAAGTATCTCACATGATATCTAGAGATTTTATCGACATAAACAACAATGATTTATTGAAGTCATTGGGAAATCTGTGTCAACGAGTTTTGAAGTTCTGCACTGCAAATCTCGATGCCATCATTCCCGACCCACGCGACTACACTGATGAGGCGCTTGAAAAACACAAGGCCGATGTTAATAGCCTACTGCAAACTTATTTGTCCAATATGGAGGCGATCAAGATAAGGCAGGGAGCGAGCAATATACTTTCTCTTTCAGCATTGGGAAACCAGTTCCTACAGCATAATAAGCTCAGTAACCAGCTGATCAGAGAAGAGCCTAAGCGATGCGCTGCCGTAGTCAGCCTTGCTCTCAATCACATGTACGTTTCTCCATTTCTGCGTTCTGCCATTGCATTCCGACAAATTGCCCCGAGGGCTCTCTTTTCTACAATCACTCCCATTCTTCATTACTCTCCCTAACTATTTCACAGTCATCTTTTGGCCAACATTCTGTGCCCGTATGCGCCCAATACTTCGGCTTCTATCTTGACACAGCTTGGAATACCAAAGGAGAAACAAGTATTCTCCATCCCCGACATCTGGACTGGCAAGACATTAAAACCTGGCGAGAAGCTCGGTACACCTACTTTGCTGTTCTCCCAGATCCCGGCTGGCCGTGCCGCTGAATGGCAAGAGATGTTTGGCGGAGACGAATTGAAGAAACAGAAGGCAGCTGAGGCAGAAAAGGCCGCGGCGAAGAAAGCGGCAAAACAGAAGAAAAAGGACGAGAAGAACGCCAAGAAAGCCGCCGCTACTACGACCGAAGAAGCGCCGTCGGCGTAACTTACGAAACTGGGAACTGAGAGTGCCCGGACTTTTTCTCTACAAATTCTACTCATGGGTTTCAGACCCCGTTGGGCGCTTTGAAGCCCTGATGAATGGCGAGGCGTTGAGAAAAATTGCATTGTACGAGACGGCTTTCTTAGCCGTCGGCTATATTCAACAGCAATGAAAGAAAGCTAGAGAAGAGGCGAGATACTCATGATATGCTCTATTAAATGCATAATCCGAGTGTGGCATAGATAGGCTTGGGTAGAGTAGCGGGTGCCAAGAAAATAAGAACTGGATTTAGACTGTTGATAAGTATCAGTTATTCGGAACCCATATGTGACGTGTCACTATGATAGAAAGAAATGATTTTCTATATCATTAACGTGTATTAAGTATAGCCAGTAGGTACTCGTCAAGGCGACGATGAGTTGTCATATCTAACCATGAGCCAAACTCCTGACACGCATGCGCTTTTGACTATGATTACTCCTCTGATGCAACGAAAATAAACCGCGATCCCACTTTCAAGCTAAAACAATCCTGCGTCTCGTATCAGAGCATAGGTCTTGGTTGAAGATGAGAATACTGGGCCCATTCGACTTGGATGTAGACCGGATGACAGATTGGTGCTAATGTCTAACATGCCAATCCCCATTACCCTTTCCCTTCCTACTTGCTCAATCATCGAGACGCAGCCATCTCGGGCTTTAAATACCCCGAAGTTGAAGATTCACGCCTTGCTTTGGGATTGTATCGTGCTGAGGAACTCTTGCCTATACACAATGGGCCTGTGACGCCGGTGGTTTTCTCCGTGGCCTCCTGAAGAACAGTAGTCTGTATCGGACCGGATATACGATTGTCAAAAGCCCATTGTAATGATCTTAGATCTCTGATCTTCGGTATCGCACGTCTGATATCGTCCCACTTGGTTTTACTCAAATTGATGAAGATACTTGGGGGCCGCTGACCAGCGTCAAGAGACACTAGCGTTACTTTCTTCGTGTATATGTCGAGAAGATGGCGCTGCAAAGCGCAGCTCACGTGAACATTTATCTCGCCGAAGAAGGTTTCGATAAATTCGAATTCATCATTGATCTTTTGAGATTTGTAGACTCCCACGAAATGCTCATATGTAGCGAGAAATTCTGCGATGGCTGGCCAATCTTGGAGCTTGGGTCGCTTTGACCTT